TGAAACTGGTAAAGTTGTTGTCAGAGAGGAAAAGGGGTGTTCGAGAGGTTGCAGCGAGTGCAGAGGTGGGAGAATACAAGTTTGAGGGTATTGCCATTGGAGTGAGTGGTGGTTTGTGTCCATTGTGTTAGGTTAAAAGAGGAGGTTACATTGAGTAGTTGAGAAGTGCCTGAGGTGTTAACATTGATTGAAATGTTAAAGTCACAGGGAATGATGGCGGGTACTTCAGAGGAGAGAAAGTAGGGTAGCCATGCAGAGAAATCATCAAGAAAGCATGACACAGGGCAATCCTTATACAAACTGCAGAAAAAAAGACAAATGCAGTGCACCTCAAAAAGAACAGAGGGAAAGAGAGGGAGGCGTAAAAAGAACCTGGAAGGTACTTTGTGGGGAATGGACAAGTCCAACTCCACCTCCTTTTCGTCCGCTGAGTGAGTCCAGAGGGAGCCACCATTGGAGAGGGCAGCTGGAGAGGCAGTGTTGGGTTCCTGGAGCCAGGTTTCGATAATAGCACATAGGTTGAGGGAGTTAGAGAGGAAAAGGTGAATGACAGAGGAAAGTTTGTTAGAGACTGAGCAGGCATTCCAGAGGGCATTCTATGTGTCCTGTTTATCATTATCATCAAAGCGAAAGTAAAGAAAACCCCACATTTTGGGTTGTCCCCAGAAAAGTAATCAATGGAATATTTTTCAATGGAGACACTAGTTCTGGAGACCTGGGAGCACCCAGGGAACTTTTTCTGTTTAGTTGCTTATTCATAGAACTAAAGAATTGTACATGGAGGAAAAATACCTGTAGAAAATCAATACTGTTGTGTTAGGAAACAAACCCGCTTGGTTTAAACTTATGTGTGGATGAGAAAGGCATTCACTGCGCATAAAATATTACAGGAATCTAAATGAATTAAATACAAGGTGCTACCATTGCTGATCTTCTGAAAATACTAACTTTCATGGTGATCCACTGTCTTCCTTGATTTCGGAGTCACTGACATAGACCAAGCATGCAGAAAGTCAAGTTTAACGCTTAATATGCACACTTGAACCCAGAGGAACAACATTGTTGCCAGGCATCTAGCATTCTCAAAAATACATCAGCAATGGCCGCATACATAATCCTCTTATAACATATTTCCTTTACAATCAGGGTGAAACTGACCATACATGTTATAATCTGACCATGCAATTACAAGCTTGCTTTATTGTTTTAGAAATAGAAAAAAGCACATAAGCAGCTAATACTGTGCATTAGTCTTAAGATGACCACATGCATAAAAATCAGATTGTACAAATCTCCTGTAGATCTACCAACAATGTAGTATGCATTGCAACCTTGCAAATAAACACCGACTTGAGGTAAAATGTTAGCCATCCCTAACATGGTCCTCAGGATTCTGGCAGTGATATAAGGTTAGATACTAGCCAATGACACTGCATTTATGTTGGGATACTAAAATGCAGGTTCTCTCTTTTTCTAACATTTTTATTTACAATTCTCTGCAATCAGTACCATGTTGTCCACATTCTATATCTAAATACTACACCCAGTTATAGCCTACTGGGGTGCTAGAACGCTAGTAAGCTTGAATGAATGTAAAAGCAAGTCAGAAGCAACTAGAAAGTCATTAGTTTGATATAGCATGCTGCAATTCACTTGCTTCTGAGCCTGGAACCCGTGCATACAATTCATTACAAATCTTTTTTTTAAAGTAGACAGTGTAATAGTTAGGTGAACATGCCAGCAGGTAATTGATGTTAATTACCTTTAGAAGAATCATAACGGATACTCAAAAGTTTCCTTATAAGTCTATTGAGTTCTTGGCTAGAGCAAGTCAAACCATCATTGTAAGGCCACAACAAATTTAAATAGAGAAGTTGTTTTTTTTTCCCCTGTAAATCATACTTACCTAGGTGAATGCAGCATCGGTCCAATGTTGCATGTGTCCCCCGTCAGCCCTAAGGCTGAAAATTGAGCAATCAAATACTGGTGATTGCTCAGTTCTCCCAGTCACTCAAAGCAGAGCCGTGGCTGTCAGTCTCCTTCTCTCTCCTCTGCCCCCCCCCCCCCCAGCACTTACTGGAGCTCCAAACTTCAGGGGGCAGGAGTGGCTGGCTCAGGCTCTCAGCAGATCAATGAGAGGCTGAGCCAGGTGCTGGTCCAGGCTCCTGGGTGGATCCTAAAAAAAACATATGGCCGCAATCTTTCCCCAGCTTGGACTGGCTCTGTGATGTCAGCAGACAGCATGCTTTAGCCCACTGTCGGTTGAAGACAGGTCACAGGAGTGCAGAAAGAACTACACTCCTGTGATCTACAGAAGTACAGCCAAACAAGCTTTGGCTGTATTTTTCCTTTAAATACAAATGTGGCAATAGACATGGATAAAGTTTTAATAATATTTCATGTACTGAAGATAGGTACATGTTAATATGACACATAAAAGGCTACTTATCACAGAAAAGCCAGAATTAATATCTGGAGTTTGGTGCATATTTGGAAAACCCCTTTAGTTGAGGAATAAATGTACTCTTTTCTCAAAATAGCCCAAACCTGCTAATATAGCCAAGCACATTCACAAGCAGCAGTTTGACATAGATCCTCACTGAATAAAAAAGTAAATCCATTCAGTGGCGTAGCGTGGGTTGTCAGCGCCGGGGACAAGTCAAGTAATTTGCGCCCCCTAACCCATGGACTTTTAGCTCTCCCCAAGTCTCTTCCACTAGTACAGTATTAAACTGTGGCTGTGGAAATGCAAAGAGTTCCTCCACTCCAGTGGCATATCTAGAATATTCAGGGCCCCTGCAAGAAACCATGAAGGGCCCCCCTGACCCTCAGGCCGGGGCCCTTCCCTCCAAACATGGTGGCGGAACCCCAGGACCCAGTCGCAAGTGCAACCTTTGTTACCCTGGTAGTACCACTACTGGTGTGTCAGTAGTTTTTTTTATTTTATTTTTTTTTTTACAAATTTTTTTTTTACATTATTCTTTACATTTTTTTTTAGGAGCCCCATTGGGGGGCCTTGGTGAGATATAAGGTCTAAACAGACCTCTGATGTTCCACCTTTGAGACAAAAAAAAAAAAAAAAAAAAAAAAAAAAAAAAAGAAAAAAAAAAAAAAAAAAAAGGAGATTGAGAACACAGCCCTCAATCTCCATCTCTGCAGCCTCAGCTGCACAGAATACATGAACAGGAATGGCTTTGTACAGAGCTCCCCATTCAATCACAAACCAAAATATAGTAAACACAGTTTATTATGGTTCAGTTATGAGTGGACAGAGTCAATGAATAATACCGATCACGGATTCCTTTCAGAAAATGAAGGGGCTGGTAACTGAAACATTTACCAGCCCCTTCCACGCTCTCCATCCTGACAGATCCCCCGCAGCAGCTGGCTGGAAGAGGGGAACTTGGTAGAGCTGCGGGGGATGAGGGGAGGCCGGAGAGCATGGGGGGCGGGAAAGAGCTTGGGGGGGGTGGGGGGGGTCAGAGACCATGGGGAAGATGGGGCCAGCAGAAAAAAAAGCTGGTTTGGAGGAGCAGCAGGGTGGCTGCATATTGAGAAATTCAATATATGTTCCCCCTACAGCAGCTAAATGCTGGCTTCTCCTCCTCTCCCTCCCACAGGCATTCAGGTGCTGCAGGAGGAACATGGTGAAATCAGTTTCCTCCATATGCAGCTCCACCACCGCTGCTCCTATCCAGGCATACAGGGGGGCCGCACAGGCCCCCTTCAGCATTGGGCAGGATTGCAATTGTGACCCCTGTAGATATGCCCCTGCTCCATTTACAGTCTGAGCCTCTGATTGGCTGCCCGCTATCTTTTATTATGGGTTGAATCTGAGAGATCTCTGACTACAGTAGTCAAAGAGATATCTTCTCAGATTCAACCAATAATAAAAGACCATGGGCAGCCAATCAAAGGCTCAAGCTGCAAATACTGCTAGCACTGAACATCACAGTGAAGATGAAGTATACATTTCTGTACATCCACAAGTTACAGTTTAGTGACCAGATAGACTTATTATGCTGTATTGCAGATCCTCAGTGGAATGCTTTGCTACTGGCTGATGGACTCTACAAGCACAGCTCCCCACCCTGCCCTCGGCCCAGTGAGCATGACTAGCCACCTTAATCCACATATTAACACCTACCACCATAATTCTTCTTCCCAGACCCCCTACACAGACCCTTCACTTGGAAGACACACTGTGTGATATCACTGTCTCAGGGAATTCTGAGGCTCACATTGCCCCTCGCTATGCATTCCTCACTGCACAAACTCAGGGAAATGCAATTCCCACTGCCAGGCACAGCTAAGAGAATACAGAAGCAGCACAGCTGTAGAATGACAAGCAATGTAAGCTAGGCATGACATTCTTGTGTCAGGGAATGGCATCTCCCTGTTCATGTTCCAAGCATGAGACATACACCTCTTCTTTCTCTCCCCACAGCCACTCTGTCTTCAGCCACCGCACAGCCACTCTCTCTTCCTGTCCCGGGCATCAGAGGGAGGCAATAGCTACACGTCTCATGCGCTTAGCAAGCCCTGCTACTGACTACATGCATCCAGCTTACATTTTTTAGTGGCATTAGTTCTGTCCCAGACACCCAACAATGCAGGTTCTATCCTCTCCCTACCGCCCACAGTTGACAGCACCGCATCCTGTAAAAGTCAAAAGTGTTGGGCTAAGGAAGGGAGCGGGTTACAGTACCGTTCTCATTGCCTAAGGAGGCAGTGAGGAGGTGGAGCAACACTGTAGGGCCGGCATTTTACCTAGAGTGTGTGCGTCCATAAAACGCATTCAGGGACAGATGTAAAAATCACTGCCGGAATGTCCGCACTGGCTGCCCGCCACACACACACATGCTACGCCAATGAATCCATTAAATTAGTAAAAGCAATTCATACATAATTCTTCTGTAGTAATTTTACTCAAGTGCATAAATAGAAACCAAATCTGTTTTGATACATTCCAGGTTGCTACCTGAGCATCCTAAACTTACCTCATCCATCTTTTCCGATGTAGGGGTCTCATCACCTGTGATATGTTCCTTTGATTCTGTACTATCCACTTTCCTGAAAGGCTGACTCAGTTGATCAATGGGAGTTGTTGACCTTGAGTTCTGGCAGAGAGATGCAGTGCCGGGTATTGGCTCATCATCATCAGAATCCGGCAGTGGAGTTGGGCTAATATCCTCTAACCCAGTGCTGGAAGGTCTAGAAGAAGGTGTAACATCCTGATACTGAGAGTTTGAACTATAAGGAGGGATAGGCGAAAGTTGAGAAGAAGAGGATGATATAGGACTTCCTTGCATCATCACTTCATTGTCCGAGTTTGGTTCATTTAGGAAACGTAAATTCGTTCTTTGCTCTTTTAAAAGCATTTCGATTCTGGAGTCTAAACTATTGTGCTGCATTTCTGACTCCAAAGTAGGAGTTCCTGGAGAGTTCCGACTTTCGGGGGTCCGAGCACGAGAAGCAGATTTATGCTCTATGAGGCACTCAGGTTCTGGTGGGGGGGGTTCCTCTGGTTTCTCCTTAACTGGTATAAAGTCAATATTTATAGAGCTACCCATGCCATCAGAAAAAGGCTCTGGTGGCAGTGGTGGAGCTGTTCTCCTATAGTCAAGTTCTCGTGGTGTCTGTGGGAAAGAAGTCTCATCATGATGGGTGTAAACGGAAGATGCCTGGTAAGGGGAAAAGGCTGATTTACCAAAGTTCAAACCAGATTGACTCAAGGGCGATGTATGTGAAAACTGTGGAGTCTCTGGTTGAGATCTAGTAGCATTAAAAGTCTGCTCAGAACCTCTATAAACATTGGAGCCATGTACGTAGTGATGTCCAGGCCTCCGGTTGTAAGCATCCGTAAACTTTGTTTCATGTCTCCTTGGTTTAAAGTCTTGTCCGTAATGAAAAGCTGGTGTTGTTTGCCGACTGGAATAGCTGGAGTCTTGAGAATAAGGTGTTCCCAGACGTGGGGTGTGAGGGGTTCCTTGCGACTGGGGGGTGAACTGACTGTAAGAGTTTGGGGTATCTTGTCGACAGCTTGAATAGGCTGTATCATGGGAAAATGGAGTACTGCTGTTTGGAGTAACTGATGCACCTCCACTAGTTTCTTTAGTACGTTTCCCAAGTTCATTAACCTAAGTTAAAAAAAAAAAAAAAAAAGAAAAATGATCAACAACGATATATAAGAAAAAAGAGAACGGAAATACTTTTTAAAAAAAATACATTATATATAGTTGACTATTGAAAAACAATCACCAATGCACCAGTAATCTTCTCTAAATCTTTTTCTAGGTATAGCCATTAATATAAATTAAAAATATACTGACCTTTCCTGCCCTAGACCTATGCAGTTTTTGAGGCACGTCTAAAGACAAGAGAAGTTACAGTAATACACTAAATGAAAATATCTTTTATCCCTGGTGCCCAACATGCTGTGTGTGCCAAGTGTGCATCCCGCTATGATCCAGACCTAAATTCAGGTAGGAGCAGAACAGGCTGAACACTGGGTTTCAAGCAGATTTGGCAGGATTCAACACTGGAACCACCTGCTGTTAATTACAGCCGCAATCCAGTACTAAAAGGCACATGAGCTGAAACCATCAGCTACATGGCTTGCAAAACCAATATAGCCTTACTCTCTAGAAGAGTGCTTAGTAGCAGCATAGCAGAAAGCAGTGCTTTAGCACTGTGTTTAAGGCCTCGTGCACACTGGACATTATAAAAACGCAAGTAGCATTAGCTGTAGAATGCTGTGTTAAAAACACAAGTTTTGTCGTTTTTTTTTAGCGTTTTTGCATTACCGGTTTTTAGAGTTTTTCAGCGTTTGCATTTTTTAGCTTTTTTTGGCAAAACTATATTCCGACAAGAGCTTGAGGCTCAAACAACGCCCATAAACACACCGGATAGTCACGTTTTTCAGCACTAGAGCATTTTTACAGCTGAAAAATTCCTCTTCAAACGCAGTAATTCTGGGGTTTTTTCCAGCCTGAAAACACCCATACCAAAAAAAGCTAATAAAAGCATATCTGTGCATGGACACATAGGATAACAAGGAGAGTTTCCTAGCTAGAGAAAAAAAAAAAACAAAACAAAAAAAAAAAAAAAAAAAAACCGCCTGACGCCCAAATCAGCAGTTGTAAATGCCCAGTGTACATGAGGCCTAAAGGGGAAGGGACATGAGGTTATCAGCACTTCCTGCAATCCCCCCCCCCCCCCCCCCCTGCACTTCATCTGTCTGTGCCATTGCTACACATACTGAAACAGTAATGTATGGCTTGAAGATAAATGCAAACAACACATCACAATTGGTCTACTGAACAAAAGATCTGCTGCTGTAGGGATGCAAGATGGGGCTGGATCAGGTTTCCCAAACCTGATCCAGACCAGCCCCATTAAAAAAAAAAAAAAAAGAAAAGAAAAAGTGAATGAAACTGAAACACTTTTCTAAATTAAAAAAACTTTCAGGCTCCATTCACCCTGCATTTTGCAACACACATTGTATTAACAGTTTTTAAATGAAAAAGCATGATCATGCTATTACTGTGTTGGATTGCAAAAAGATGCAAGCAACCAAACCAAATTAAAAATGCTGTTTACCTGTGGAGTTTCATTCACAGTGGGTGAAGCATCCAAGTCGCTGCCAACTGGAAGAGTCTGAGGTGTGTACAGACCATTAACCAACAGTTCATAGAACCGCATTCGTGTCTCACCTGTAGACAAAAATATATATAAATATGGTATAAATTATTCCAAAAGGAAAAAAAAATTATTAAAAAGGAAATACAACCTGCCCTAAAAAGTGTATAAAAAGATAACAACAGTGCTGAAATGCTAATACCTTGTAGTGCCAAGCAAATGTCATTCAAATCAACCCTCTGTAAAGTCCACTGTATTCCAAGTAGGTGATGTTTTAATACAATGTAATTAAAATTATCTTGGAATTTATGTTGCACATGCACACAATCATCAAATGAATAAAAGCAACAAATTACACTCTGCTACCATTTGGCATTTGATATATATTTTGCTTTTTAGATACCAGAATTGTGAGGATGTTCTAGTTACAGAAATGGGCCAAGGTATCTGATGCCCAAAACAGCACCAATGTCTAACTTGACTAAACTGAAGGTACTGGGTGCTCATGAATTAATAATCTAATAGCGATTGCCCTGCGCTGTCATCATATCCAATGCATATTTAGGGTTATTGGGAATGCTTGTGTGCCAAACACTGCTCACTTACCATCCAACCACTCTGAATCTGCTTACATTTTATGGCTAGATGTAAGTGTATGTTAACATGCACCTGAGCAGCACAGTGGCTAAGTGGTTAGCACTTTTGCCTGGCAGTACTAGGGTCGTTGGTTCGAATCCCAACCACGGCACCACCTGCCTGGAGTTTGCGTGTTCTCCCTGTGCCTGCGTGGGTTTCCTCTGGTATTCCGGTTTCCTCCCACACTCCAAAGACATGCTGGTAGGTTAATTGGCTCCTGTCTAAATTGTCCCTAGTATGTGTATGTATGAATGTGAGTTAGGGACCTTAGATTGTACGCCCCTTGAGGGTTAGGGACTGATGGGAATGTACAATATATATGGAAAGCGCTGTGTAAATTGACGGCGCTATATAAGTAACTGAAATAAATAATAATAAATATTTGTTTAATAGGAAGATTGAAAGAGTGTAGTGCTACCCTATTAACACAATAATGGTGTGACCCTCTAGTGCAGGGGTACTGAATTAAAACTCATGGAGGTCCAACCAGTAAACTTTTCTTCTGACAGAGGTGCAAACCACATTTTGTTTCAGCCCTCTCCTACTGTATATCACAATCCCTATACTTCAGTGTCCACAGTCCCCCCCCACATATCACAGTCACAGTCCCCACTCCACATCAGGTTCACCTTTACAGTAGTGTTCTCAGGCCTCCTGCACATCACCCACTTCTTTACAGTACACCCTATTATTTTCAGCAGTCCTCAACCCCCCCTCAAATCATCACCCCCACCCCTCACTACTGTCCTCTACCTCTTCACATCTCTCCCCCACAGTACTGTCCTTTGCCCCTTCACATAAACCCCAGCAGAACTGTGCCTCCTTCACATCCCCCCACAGCATTGCCCCCCCTCCTTACATCTCCCTCCCCCACAGCATTGCCGCCCCCACCCCAACAGTAGTGTTCTCTGCCCTTTGCACATCAAACCCACCCCGCATACACACACACACGCACACACACCCCTTTACACACCCCCAGTAGTATACTCTGCCCTACTTACATCAACCCCACCCCCCCTTCACATCCCTACCCCACAGTACTGTCCTCTGCCCCTTCACACACCCCCACCACAAACACTATCCCCCCCCTTTACATCTCCCCCTCCACAGCATTGCCCCCCTGAAAAGTAGTGTTCTCTGCCCTCCTCACATCAACCCCCCCTCCCTTTACAGCACTGCCCCCTTTACACCCCCCCCCCCCCCACCACACATGCACACAGCACTGACCCTCTTCACATTTTGCCCCCGCCTCCTTTACATCACACCCACCCAGAGTAGTGTCCCCGGCCCCTTTTCACTCTCCTACCTTAGAGCAGAGAGTGGGAGGCAGAGCATTTCTGGATCAGGTGTGGGAAGCACAGCACATCATTGAACAGAGCTGCTTCTTTCCCCCCATCCTCCACCGCTATTATAACAGCAGAGCGGAAAGCAGGACACTGAGCATTTCTGGAGCCGGTGTGGAACAACAACACAGTATTGAACAGAGCCCAGGAGCAGGAGCTGTCATAACATTGTTGGATCGGATGCAGGAAGCACAGCACAGCATTGAATAGAGCATGGGAGCTGCAGGTTAACTTTTTGCATTAACCAGCATGTGATTGGCTGCTAGGACTGACCTGTTTCCAATCAGCAGCTGGTTAACAAAAAGTTAACCTTGGCAGCTCCAGCGCTCTATTCAGTGCAGTGCTTCCCGTATCTGATCCAGAAATGTTATGGCAGCTCCCACTCCTGCGATCTGTTATTCCACACTGGCTCCAGAAACGTTCAGTCTCCTGCAGTCCACTCTGCTGTTATAATAGCGGAGGAGGATGGGGGGAAAGAAGCGGCTCCTAAATGGCATGACCGGGTCCAGATGAAACAGTGGCTAGATCCGCTTCCAGATCGCAGTCCGCCATTTAGTGATGCCTGCTCTAGTGTCTCAGAAAATGACCGACCATTTAAGCGGGTATTTTTAAATAGATGAAAGATTCAGTTGACACCTGTGTCAGGCTTTCAAATGTGAAAACTGTTTGTTTCCTGTGTCTGGCTACCATAAGTGACAAAAACAGCTAAATGTGTAAAAAAAAAAAAAAAAAAAAAAAAAAAAAAAAAGAGAGGAGCTGTGGCACAAGCACTTTGTAGAGGGATGACAAGGAAGGAATTGACAAAGTGGTTCTAAACACAAAGAGGTCGATTTACTAAAACTGGAGAGTGCAAAATCTGGTGCAGCTGTGCACGGTAGCCAATCAGCTTCTAACTTCAGCTTGTTCAATCAAGCTTTGACAAAAAGCTTAACCGAACAATAATATAGGACTTTATGCCTGTCTATGGTTTGTTATTCTTCACTTTCAGTTTTATTTGTTTGTAGTATTTGTGTTTATTCATTTACACAATCTATTTTGTTTTAGTTAGAACATATTTTTTTTCGTCACTGTTAGGTGGTTTGGAAATTCTTAGTGCTGGGCTTAATGAAGTGGTTTTGACTTTTGATATTTGTTTTGATAGGGGATTATTTAGTACAGCAGCATTGATTAGATCTTTTTTTTCAGCAGAATTTATTGGATTGCCATTAGATGGGGCATACATCATTAGAGGTAAACTCTTTTTGGCCATACTTTCGCTTTTAAATAACTTATAATGTGAGCTTTTCATTTTTACTTGCGGTTACATATTTTTGTTAGTATTTTCATTTAAAAGTATACAAATTTGTCACTAGAGAGAGTGTTTATCAGCAATCACTTGGCCTCCCTGCTTCAGTTTCCTGCCATAGGCAACCACAGCCTTCCAGAAAGTGTTGGTACGGACTGTTACTTCTTTTGTACCGAGCACCACTTGCCTTAAAAATAAAGCTTTACAGGAAATGTGTAGTCTGCTGCCTTCTTGTTCCTTTTACCCTACTTGTGTGATGGGGCCATTAGTGAGACCAGAGAAAAGGAAGGGTCAGACTACATGGGGACCAGGAAGAGATTTTTTTCATGTAATCCTTTTAAAGCAAAGAAAACAAAAAACAAAAGGGACCATACTCTCACAGGTCACCGACTGCCTATTCATTATCATTCCATGTATGCTGGGAAGTGCCGGGACACACATCTGTAACATTATTCATTACATCAAACAAATGTATATATTTTTAAATATATATTAAAATCCTGAATAGGCTATACATTTCATTTGAATCAAATCAACAGATTCTAAAGTACACAATGAAAATATTGGACAAATGATCAGCGGGTTTTTTTTTTTGCATGCTGATATCATATCAAAAATGAAGAGGTTACTAAAGTTACGAAACTTCTCGAAAGACAGAATACAACTTTGGAACTGATGTAATGTATTGTATTCTTTCATTTCCGAGCATGTGTGGTCTTGGTCCCTTGATTTTTTGTGGACGAATACTGTACTAAATAAAACAAAAATAGTTTGTTCTGTTATTGTACCAGAAACATTTTTCGTGCTTGTCCCTTCAGATAATTTCACATGAACTGTCATGATTGGCTCTCAAAAGCTGTGTACTGATGATCAGAATATGGATCGTTTCGAAAGCCGTATTTTTCACCTGATTTTCTCATTGTGTGTACTAGGCATTACTAAGTAGAATTTAGTTTGCTAAAACATTGTGTATCCTAAAAACTGCCATTTTTAAAAAAAGTAAAATACTTGTTTTTGCTCTTTTTATGCTTTGTTGCACTTCATTTCTGCTGCAGCCTCTTTGCAGCCACCTTCTGTATACATCCATATACTCCAGCAAAGGCTACATGGCATTTCTCAGGGACAGCAACTGGCCATGCATGCATACATGTTTGTGTAAAGTAGTCAAACGCAATTTCCATCAGAAGCAGTGTTACAGGTAGACAATGCAGAAACACATATGGATAATAGGGAAAAAGCATACAGTAACAGGATTCACTAAAGGAGAATTATTTTTGGCAGGATTACCACATAAATTCAATTAAAGTTACAGAATTCAAAAATATTGAAAAATACTTTTGATATACTGTATGATAAAATATTTTATTGTAAAAAGTGCACATGTTCAAACTATGGACATTAAGACATTAACATACACTGTGTGCACAAATTTTTAAGCAAGTTGTATTTTTGAGGATTAATTTCACTACTGAACAACTACAGTGCTTTTGGTCAATCCAAAATGTTAATAAACCTCAAACCTGAATATTTAAGAAAGAAAAAGTGAGGTTTTGCAGGGATCTTGGTTGGTGATTCCTAAACATATAAACCGAACGTATCAATTTTGTGTTTTTCTAGCAGGTCCGCAGCCAGTCTAAATATTTAAATGAATGGGGTGTGTCTTGCAGCATAGCAAGTCTGATTAAGTGTAGCTATGGGATGCTCAGCTCTCATCTAGGCGTGGCCTGTCTCTGCTTTGCCTTTCTCCCTCTATACTTGGTTGTCTCTGTCTGTGTTGGAGGGGATGCTGCTAAAAGGAAAGAGAAATGAC